GCGAGGGGGGGTCCGGAAGCTATTTGGAGTGGTCGATGGAAGTTGGAGCGCTCGGACCTAGCGGTTCGAGATGGTCTGCGTTCGATTCGAGTTCGAGCTTCGCTTGAACCTGGCGGTTCGAACAGGATTCCTGTTTGAACCGCCAGGTTCGAACAGGGATTTGTGTTCGAATTTGGCCTCCTCCTCCGCCCAGCCCTCCCGCCAGCTGGTCGTTGTCCTGCTTTGGCCCCGCTTCCTTTCGTCCTGGGCGTCGTCGACGCGCCCCCCTTCCCTCCCCCCTTCCCGCAGGTGGCGATCGCCGACCTCGGCGTGCGCCTGATGTCGGGCCCCGCCTTTACGTTGCAGGAGGTTTCGCAAGGTCGACGCCGACCTCGGCGCGCGCGCCCTTCATTGCCGCCCCGGCGACGTCTATTTAGGGAACCGGCGTTGCCGAGAAGACTCGGACATGTGGTATCTCGGGTGCGTGGCCGCGGAGCCACGCGCGGCCCGCCCGCTCTTTGTCTCGGCGGCGCGGGGGCCCTCTGGCAAAGACCTCGTTCGTGGATGCAATCCTCGCGCCCCCGCGGCCTCCGCGCGCGCATTGGGCGATGATGTGTGAGAGGGCCGCGTGGCTGGAGTCCCTGCCTTTCTCCGGCGCGTGGAATGGGTCGGCGGCTGCGGCGGCGGGGGGGCCATTCAGGTGCCCTCGCGCAGCAGCCGCGAAGTGGCCCCCTCATTGTCTCGCGGGCTGCCTCAGGGCCTCGCCGACCTCGTCGGACGTGCTTTGCAGTTGCAGTGGCGCCAGAGCGACAGGATTGACGCCGCCGATGCGCGATCTCATTCTTTTCTGCAGCCGCCTGGCGCCGCCCCGACGGCCCGCCCGGGCAGGGTTGTGGGCAAGCGCGGCGTCGGAGTCACGGCCGAGGCAAACCTCGACCCAGATGTGCTGCGGTATTTGCAAGCGGGCCCCAGCTGGAACTGCCCGGCCGAGCGGCGCCTCGGGTCGGGCAAGGCCTCCTCCGAATGCGTCTAGAAGGACGAGGCCGCAAAGTCTTTCAAGTTTGAATTTGCAGGCATCGTGGACGCAGAGCGCCTTCCGACGTGCCGTAGCCTGAACTCCGACGCGAACTTGCCTCCGACCCTTTCGAAGCGCTTCGCCGCTCTCGTGCCGGCTGCGCGGAAAACGTGGCGACCTTGGCTGGGGCATCTGACGCAGAAAATGCGGGGGGCGGTCGCCGGGGGCGAAATTCCCGAGGACCTCCGCGCAATCAACGGGGGGCCCATCATGGAAGAGGAGTTCGCCGACAACGCGTTCGGGTGCGCGTCGATTTAGCTGATCAGACCAGGGCGCTGGGGCGACGGCCGGCGCGCGGGCGGCGGCTGCTCCTCGCCGCGTGTGTCCATGACGCTTCTCGGGGCCCGCGCCGTGCAAGCGCGGGTGGGCGGGGCAGGGGTCAACTTCGCACGAGAGGCAGGGCCCTTCTACGTGGGGGGCCTGTGCGCGCTCGACCACGACGTGCGCCGCCGCGACGAGTGTTTGCACGCTTTCGGCGCAGCTGCTGCAACGGTGCAGATCCACGCTGAAGCTGCAACGGCCGACGACGGGCTGCAGATCGCCGTCAGGATCCGCTCAGACATTTTCGGGGATATGAGGGCACGCAAGATCGACTCCAAACCTGGTCCAGTAGATTTTCCCCGAGTCGAAATCTGGCGCTTGCCCAGCACTTGGCCGAGATCCCAGCGCGTCTCCCTTGCCTGGCGGCTGTACTGGCACAAACACCTCGGGGCGATCCTGACTGGAACAGTGTGCATTGCGGATGGTTTGCAACAACACTCGGGTCCTTGCCGTCTGCCATCCACCCATTCTCCGCCCAATGTCGGCGCTCCTCTGGCGGTCCTGGATGGTGACGATGACGACCATGATGATTGATGACGGTGCTTTGAGGAAGAGGTGATGATGATGATGCTGACGATGATGATGATGATGATGACGATGATTATGATGATGATGATGATTATGATGCTGATGATGATGATGGTGATGATGATGATGATGATGATGATGATGATGATGATGATGATGATGATGATGATGATGGTGGTGGTGGTGGTGGTGTGTGTGATGTGATGATGATATGATGATGATGATGATGATGATGATGATGATGATGATGATGATGATGATGATGATGATGATGATGATGATGATGATGATGATGATGATGATGATGATGATGATGATGATGATGATGATGATGATGATGATGATGATGATGATGATGATGATGATGATGATGATGATGATGATGATGATGATGATGATGATGATGATGATGATGATGATGATGATGATGATGATGATGATGATGATGATGATGATGATGATGATGATGATGATGATGATGATGATGATGATGATGATGATGATGATGATGATGATGATGATGATGATGATGATGATGATGATGACGATGTCGACAATGATGATCGGGAGGGATCCATACATGAGTGGGCAACCGAAAACCGTCGAAAACCAATTGAGTCAACTGAGTCCACAAAAACCCGCCCCACGGACAGCCAGCAGAGCCCGCGCGGCGATCCTTTTACGGTTCGATTCGGGACGGGGCGATGGCGATCCGATGGGTTTCCGATCCGATCCGAGTTCGCGATTCGATTTAGCTGAGGCCTGACGGAATGTTTTTGGCTATTTCGCCCACGGCGGGGACGGCGCATTTGCCAATCGAAATGTTGACCGATGCCCCCCGCGACGCGAGCCACAGTGGAGCGCCGCGTTGCGCCCGGCGCGCGCCGGGGTTTTCACAGGCGATCTGCGCCTGGCGCCGCCAGATGGCTTGTTGCCGTCGGTCGGGCTGGCCAGCTGGAGCTTCCAAGGGCTACGCGCACGCTGTGCGTTCGCCAGGGCGGCCTCCAATTCCAGCGCGGGCGCAGCCATCGCCAGCGTCGAGGCCATTTGTGCCAGGAGCGACTCGTCGCACGCCTGGCCGAGGGAACTGCCCCCCCAGCGGTGCAGTTGCGTCGTAGCGCTCCGTGGCCACAGCGAGGTCAGCCTCCAGTGTACGGGGCGCGCAAATATACACCACCACCACCTCCCTCACCCGCTCCCCCTCCCATGAAAAAGGAAAGAGAGAGAGAAAGGAGGGTAGAGGAGGGAGGAGGAATCGACGTGGTGATGGTGATGGTGTGTATTCCTGGGGCTCGTACAGTGGCCGCGCGGCCCACCAGCTTTTTGCGCCGCGCCGCCGCTCGCCTGGTCGCAGCTGGCGAGCGAAACCCATGTGCCGAACTCCACGCAGGGGGGCCGTGCCGCCGCGCCGGGTCCAGAGACGGCAGCCATCGCGCGCGGGGCAGGGTCAGGCGGATCCGGCTACATATTTCACCTCAGCGCGACTGAGTGAGGACTGTGCGATGCCACCTGCCACGACCATGATCATGACAATGATGGCGATGATGACGAAGACGACGACGATGAGGAGGAGGAGGAGGAGGCGGATGCGCAGGAGGAGGAGGAGCAGGAGGAGGAGGAGGAGAAGGAGGAGGAGGAGGAGGAGGAGGAGGAGGAGGAGGAGTAGTATGAGGGGGAGGAGGGTGGTGGTGGTGATGATTTTCTTGACGACGATGAGGAGGTCTCTCGAGGTCCTGGGAGGCCCCAGTGGCCTAAGAGTCCCCAAGCTTCCGAAACCCCAGTCCTCGATGCTCGATCCTCCTCCCTCCTTCCCCTCCCTCTCCTCCTCCTCCCTCCTCCTCCTCCTCCTCCCCTCCTCCCTCCTTCTCCTTCCCTCCTTCCCTCCTTCTCCCACTTCCCTCCTTCCCTCCCTCCTTCCCTCCCTCCCTCCTTCCCTCCCTCCTCTTCTTCCTCCTCTTCTTCCTCCTTTTCTTCCCTCCTTCCCTCCTTCTCCTCCTTCCCCTCCTTCTCCTCCTCTCCCCCGTGCTCCCTCGAACGGTGGTCCTCGGGCTTCGATCCTCCTCGCTCCTCGATCCTCGATCCCGGCATTCGATCCTCGGTCCCCGATCCGGGATCCCGGAGCCGCAATCTTCGATCCTCGATCTTCCCCCCCTCCCCTCCCCCGCTGCCCGCGTGCAAGGTCGACGAGTTCGACGCCGTCCCCGTTGCCTCCCTTCTCCTCTCCCAGCTCCCCTCCTGCCTTCTGCCCTCTCCCCCCCGTGACGTCCGACGATCCTGCCGACCCCCAGAAGATGAGATGCGCGGCTTCCGCGTGCTGCCTGCGTGCAGTTCTTGACTCGTCCTCGTCCTCCTCCGCGTCTGCTGCGGGGCTTCTCTGGGGGGGCCTGTCCGACGATGTGGTTTTCTCACTATACGGCAGAGCTCCCGCCCCCTTCCCAGGGACAATTTTCCGTCCTGGGCCCTTTTTGATGGCCCCGGGCCCGAAGACGGCCCTCCTGGAGGACGAAGATCATAGAAGAAACGCAGGGGTTGAACAAGTAGATCCTTCGGATGCCGGGGCCCCTCCCCCTCTTCCCTTCTCCCAGCTCCTTCTCCCAGCTCCCTTCGGAGGTTCAAAATTAGCCCAGTTCCTTCTCGCAGGTCCTACTCGCAGTTCCTCAGTTCTCTCTCCGCTCCCTTCGGGGGTCAAAACTAGCCCGTAAGGCCGATCCAGCCCCTGCGGCGAGAAGCCGAAGACGTAAAACAAAATATGGATCCTCGAACCTCGGTTTCCCTGGCTTACTTCCTGCGACTTCGACGTCGTGTCTCATGCCACACGGTGGACCCCAGGAGGTCTGGGCCCCCCTCCCCGGGACCAGCTTTTCCTCATGAGCAGGCTCTCGACCGCTGTCCGCCGCGATCTTCTCACCACTCAGGAGGGAAAGAAACACACAGACACAATTAATCGTCGACTCCCAGGAAAATATGGGAAAATATGGGAAGTGGGGGGGGGAAGACAAAAACCCAGAAAATATGCGAAAATACGGGGAATCGTTTTATTTGTGTGTATTTATTTGTGTGTCTCAGGGCCCCTTCAACCACGACTCCCGCCGGCGAGGGCGACGAGTTCGACGCCATCTTCGATGCCGGCGGCGTCGGCGAGTCCGAGCTGCTCGAGATGGCCCGGGAGGCGCCGGTGCCTCCGGAGGAGCAGGCTCGGCGCGCGCCCGCTCGCCAGCAGCCTTTGACGCCGTCGTCGTCGCCCTCGTCCTCCTCCTCCTCCTCCTCCATCTCCTCTTCCTCCTCCTCCTCCTCCTCCTCCTCCTCCTCCTCCTCCTCCTCCTCCTCCTCCTCCTCCCCCTCCTCCCCCTCCTCCTCCTTCTCCTCCTCTTCCTCCTCCTCCATCTCCTCTTCCTCCTCCTCCTCCTCCTCCTCCTCCTCCTCGCTCCTGGCTCCTGGCTCCTGGCTCGTTCGCCCTGCTGTGCTGGGTTTTCGTCTTGAGCAAGGAGCACGCGTGCCCCGGCTCTTGCACAGTCGGACAACGAAGGACGGGGGGAGGAGGACGAGCCACGAGCCACCAACATGAAGGGTTTCGCGACCCAGGGGAGCTGCCCTGGGAGGCCCCGGGGAGCCTGGAAGCCAGGGGGGAGGCCAGGGGAAGAGGACGAACCAGGGGAGGAGGACGAACCACGAACCACGAAAATAAAGAGGTCCGAGTTCTAGAACACAGCTGCGCAAGAGAAGAAAGACCCTCCTCCTCCTGTCGCTTGCCTGCTATCCCACTCAGCGCCGTCGGGTGCTCCTGGGGTGGCTGCGAACTGCGCATCTGTCGCCACTTTCGTGGGTTCCTGAGAGGTCCAGCGGAGTGGAGTTGGACGCGCATCCAGACGGGACTTCGCGGCTCCCTCGGTGGCTTCGAGCGGCGCTGTTGTCGCCATGTTCGTGGGCCCCTGGGAGGTCCAGCGGAACAGGGCTGTACGCGCACCCTGACGGACTTCGCGGTCCCCTGGGTGGCTGCGAGTTGTGCAAATGTCGCCACCTGCGTGGGCCCCTGGGAGGTCCAGCGGAATAGAGCTGTACAGTTGAAGCCCATGCTAAGAAACACCTCGCTTGCCTCCAGGATGTGTTTTTTGTTGTTTTTTTTTTTTTTGTTTTTTTTGTTTCTTTTGTTTTTTGATTTCGATGGTTTTGCAATGGAACGCGTGACGTTCCCACCAAAAATGAATGGACGTCCTGAGGTTCAGGGTTGGGCTTTTTGGTGGGAGGTTTCTTGTGGTCGAGCTCCTCTTGTTCGCAACCACCCAGACGAGACCTCGCGGCTCCCTGGGTGTCTGCGAACTGCGCCATTTTCCCCATTTTCGTGGGCTCTTGGGAGGAGGTCCAGTCAACTGCAGTAAGCAGTCCATGAAGATGGCGCACGTTCTCGGCCTTGCCAAGTTTCTGCACGACTGAATGGAGGAGAGGCGTAAGCGGGATCTGGGCGAGACTGCGCATTGGTTGGAACAGTGGCGGCGCCGTCGGCGATGTTTACAACGGGCGACTACCACTTGAGTTGTTCAAGGGGGCGCGCCCACCTGGCGCGTGGCGCTGCCGCGTCATGCAGCGCGCGGCGCTGTGCATCACGTAGCGCAGTGAGTTGCTAGAACTCTTCCTCCGCCGCTTCTGTGCCGCCGCCGCCGCTTGCCGCTGTCGCGCCATACTGTGCGTCCGCTGCTATGTACGTTGTGCAAGTGTTCAAGCAGGCAAGCAGGCGCCGCGGGCCTGCTTTAGCGCCGAAGCTGGACGCGCGCGTTGCCTCGTCGCCGTGTCATCGTCGCACCTTCTCGTGCGCACATTATACAACGCAGCGTAACGGAGGCAGCTGCCATGTCGTCGCGTGATTTTCACATGACTGAGGTCACCAATGTTGCACCAATATCATACCCCGCTCTTGTGGGGAACAGCGTGCCCATGACAAATGATTGGTTACCAGCCGAAATGCGAGTGGGTGCAGCCGGAGTAAAATTTGACAAGGCCGAAGTTGCCGATTCAGATGCACAGTTGGTAGCGGCCGGAGGTTTTGGAAATCCCGGAATCTACCCATGCCTTTGAGTAGCATTCCTTTCGTCCACTTCCCGGAGAAGCCACGTTGTCGGTACAACTGACGGCGCAGCGTGTTGATAGTGACCGTGAACTGTCCGCTCTCATAGAGCCATCGGATATGACCTCAATGAGCTCGTCGACAAAGGACGGGCGACGTATGCCCTTGGTTTTGGTCTAGCACGTGAGATACAACGACGGGGAAACGCCCGTGCCAAAACGACCCGATTCGCTTATGATTCGCTAATTCGCCATGGACATCAACGTGGGCCACGATTCGCCTATGCAGGTTTCCTGCTTAACGGGGGGCCCAGCAGATGCCGATCATTGCCGTGTAATTTGAGAATTCGAAGGAACGATTTCGGAACCCTTTTTCAGTTGTTCCAACCAGGAGGCGCCCCAGGCTCAGGTCCCCTTGGATAGCAAAACCCCGTGACAGGTCGAGGAGCAGATGTGACTCCAACAGTCCTTCTTACTTTTCGTCGTCAAGTCGCTGGGCCCGGGTGACGTCGCGTCCGCAGACGGCACAAAATCGATATTCGGGAAAAGCACGAAGGGTTAACGGTTCATACCGTCGGCCCGTGTGTGTCGCATGTTCCAACGATTGTGTGCGCGGTGGCGTCAGTTGGCTCAGCCCAGATATCATGGGAATGACCGCGTAACTAGCAACATTTATTCTTGCATGGGTATATATGTATATATAGAGAGAGAGAGAGAGAGAGAGAGAGAGAGAGAGAGAGAGAGAGAAAGAGAGAGAGAGAGAGAGAGAGAGAAAGAGAAAAAAGAGACATACAGAAGAGAGAGAGGTATACATATATATATATATATAGAGAGAGAGAGAGAGAGAGAGAGAGAGAGAGAGAGAGAGAGAGAGAGGGAGAGGGAAAGAGAGAGAGATATACATATATATATATATACACATGTATTCATGTACATATATATACATACATATATTTAATTGTATTTGTATATGTGTATGCATATGTGTACACATACATATTTAAAGACAGAAAGAGAGAGTGAGAGAGAGAGGGATAGAGAGAGAGAGAGAGAGAGAGAAATAAAGAGAAACATACAGAGATAATGAGAACTATTTACAGAGAAATTCACAGAGAGAGAGAGAGAGAGAGAGAGAGAGAGAAAGAGAGAGAGAGAGAGAGAGAGAGAAAGAGAGAGAAAGAGAGAGAACGAGAGAGAGAGAGAGAGGGAGAGAGAGAGAGAGAGAGAGAGAGAGAAGGAGAAAGAGAGAGAGAGAGAGAGAGGGAGAGAGACGGAGAGAAATATCGAGAGGACTTCTGCCAGGGAGAATCAGCTCATCGACCAAATGAGCGAACATTTTCGGCAGATGCGCCAAGACAAAAATTCATATTTTTCGCGCAGCAGGCGCATCTGCGCCAGCAGGCGACCTTGGAGGCGGCTCAGCTTTTGCTCATGGGAGCTTAGCACATCACGAGAGAAAGTTGGGAAACCGGGAAATCGGTGATCTTGGAAGAGGAAAAGAATTGGAAGGGAAAGTGGCTGGAAATCAAAAACAGCAGATGCAATGTCAGTTGTTGGCTGTTAAAGTGGCCGCGAGGATTTCCGAGCAAAAGGTGGGAATGGCCCTTCGAGAAAAGACAGCACACCCCGCTTTTGTGATGCAGCAGGTCAGGGGGCGCGTCCGTCGCCGCGCGACAGGCGGTGCTTCGGGGTAAGCCGTCGCCGAAGATGCGAGGGATATTCAGGCAGAAGTAAACGATATTCACAGGGACATGATCAAGCAAGAGCAGGCGCCGTTGAGATTGAGACTTCTCCAAGATGGACGATCCCAGATTCGTGGAGCGAAGCGTGGGGGCCAGTCGGCGCCGCAGGTTCAGCCTGCAGCGTCGGAAAGGCGCGCGCCGGCGTTGCAGGTTCAACCTGTGGCGTTCGGACAGCCTGCAGGCCGGACTCTGGGAATGAGCCTTCAGAGCAGACCCAGGAGTTTGCGTGCGCCCTCGCCAGGTGAACCGGCCCCTGTCCCGAATCAATCGGTTGGCATTGTGGGGGGGCGAATCTCATGAGGACGGGGCGAACGCGTGCACTTGCGGCCCCAGAGGCGTGGGGAAGTGTAATATCTGCATGTCGCCAGAGCAGGGGAATTGCGTTCAATGCTACAAATCTTTCTGTTGTAAGGGCCATATCGACGCAGTCACTAAGCAGCGTAGATACCGTACCCGGGAAAAATCAGATGCCGAAGCATACTCTGCTAGGAAGAGTCTGGAGGATGAGCGCAGACAATCCCAACAGTGGGGGTTGATCTGAAAAAGGATGCTTTTCTGAAACAGCGGGAGGAATTGTTGAAACAATCCGAAGGGGAAAAGAGGAACTCGATAAGGTCAACTTGTCCGTGAACAAGAGGGAGTCCGCTGTCTCCCTTAGTCGCGAAGACGATAGTTGGACCTCTCCTCTAGTTTTGGAAGAGATTCTTAACGGCATGTCTTACTTCCTGAGGTGACGGCAGATGGTCAGCGGGCAAATCTTCTGAACAATCTTCCGCGCTATAGACAGCACGGGGCGTTGACAGACGCCGAAGTCTTGAAAAGGGACCAGTGGGGGGAAGGTCATACCAGAGCGGGACAGAGCATTGGATGCGATCGTATTCTGAAGCAGGCCACCTCTGCGGCAGCTAACGCTGCCAAGGCTCGCGCGGCCCCTGGGTCCGATGCTGGCTGCCAGAGCGGCGGCCGGGAAGAATTTGATAGAAATGGGGGCGCCAGGGGCAAGTGCGATGCCCCTTGCTGGCGTTGGCAGGAGACGAAGAACTGCCCTTTCGGATCACGGTGTGCCGCTTTGAATAGTCACACGGGTGGACGGTGAGCCGTTTTTTGGCGTCGCGCGCGCTTTCGTCGTAACACTTTCTGACAGTCACGCATGTGGATGGTGAACCGATTTCGCACTTTGGCCTGCCCAATGCTTCCTCGACATGTGTTGCCACACGTGCCAGTTTCTGCAACCGTTGTACGGATGGAGGGCGGCTCCTCTTACTCATGAGGAAAAGAAACACACAGACACAATTAATCCTCGATTCCCTAGAACATATGGGAAGACATGGGAAGTGGGGGGGAAGACAGAAACCCAGAAAATATAGGAAAATACGGGGAACATTTTTGTTTGTGTGTATTTATTTGTGTGTCTTGGGGCCCCTTCACTTACGCCTCGTTGCGACTCGCTGCCGTACCTCCAAGCAGGTGGCACCGATGCACGGATGGAGGGCGGGCCGCTGGTCAAAGCGGGACTGTCGCTGGGCATCTCTTTGAATGTTTCGTGGCGCCAGCATCGCAGAGCGGGTGTCGTTCGGAAACATTGGGATGGGCCATGCTTGTCCTGGAGAATTTCGTTCCGGATGTCGAGGCGAATTCCTGGGCGGACTCTTTTGGCCAGGAATGAAGACTACAAGACATCCACGCGACATCCGCTTCGCTTGTCGCTCACCGTCTCGCGGCTCTGCATTGGCAGGGATCCACGCGACAAATCCGCTGCAGCACGTCTGCGAGGTCGGTGCAGGGATACTCTATGACCCCACCGTAGTTCGGCAGCAAATCATGGGAGCCTGGCGCACCCTGTGAATTCCGTCTCTAGCGTCGATTAGCGTCGGAGAGTCGATGAGATAGACGCCGATGTTGCGTCGGTTGGCGTCGATTGGCATTGATTCAGCGTCGATTCGCAGGAGCCGACAAGACGTCATGGGAGGCTCCCATGACTTGCCACCCAGACCGTGTCGCGCTCGGTGCAGCTCGAAGAGGGTGGAAGGCGGCCCTCCCGCCCGAGCGGCGGGGCCCCACGGGGCGCTCGACGCCCTGGCGAGTGACGGGGGGGAGTGCCCGGAGGGACGGGCGGGGAGGGGGCGCGGGCCAGGAGGGTGTGCTGCAGCATCGGCGCTGTGTCTTTGGCTCGCTCTGGCTCCTGTCCTCCTCCTCCTTCCTCCCTCCTCCTCTGGTGCCTCCTCCTCCTCCTCCTCCTCCTCCTCCTCTCCTCCTCCTCCTCCTCCTCCCTCCTCCTCCTCCTCCTCTCCTCCTCCTCCTCCTCCTCCTCCTCCTCCTCCTCCCCCTCCCCCTCCTCCTCCCCCTCCTCTCCCTCCTCCCCCTCCTCCTCCTCCCCCCCCCGCCCTGCATCACCTCCCCGCGCCCCGTGCGCGTGCCCGGCAGAGGCGCGCAAGTCCTTCGCCGCCCAGCTGGCCGCGGCCAGGCAGCTTGGGCAGGCTGCCCCCCGCGCCCTCCATTCTCGTCGCCGCTTGTCACTGTCCTCCCTTCCTCCGCGTACTCCGCGTGCTCGTCGATGTCGTCCTTGGCATGGTCGCTGCCGTCGCCGCCGCTATCGTCGTCATATCCGTCGTCGTCCTCATGCTGCGCTGTTCCTGCAAGCGCCGCTGCCGTCCCTGGCGCCGCAGCCACTGTAGGCCGCCGTTGCTCCCACCACTTCCCCGCGTCGTGAAACGAGCACGACGGGAGGTTGTTGCCCATTTTCGGCCTCCGGGCGGGCCCTCACCACGACTTGGGAGGAAAAACCAGGCCGAGGGAACCGGTCGAACCACGTACTGAACAAATCACGGCGACGCCGCCTTCGCCGCCGTCGTCGCCGCCGCCGTCGGCCGCCATCGTCCGAAGCAGAAACATCTACACAGGCAGGAATTGTCCGAGGCCCGCGCAGACTTCGTGCATCGGCGCCGGGGCCCCCCCCCCCTGCCAGCCCGCCAGGGCTGCAGCGCCGATGCAGGTCCTTCGCGCGGGTCTCCGAAGTCCTCCGCCCGAGCACCGCGCCGCAGGAGCGCGCACAGCGCGCCTGCCGATCTCGCGGCGGCGAGGGGCAGGGGCAGGCCCGACCCGCCCGTGCGGGTGCGCCCGGGCCGCCCGTCGGGGCCCGCCCGCCCGAGCCGCCCGCTTTTCGCAGAGCCGCCCCGCTCCGGCGCGCCCGCCAGGGCCCGCTCGCCTGCTTGGGAGCCCTTACCAGTTTGAAACATATCCCTATCCCCATGTTTGACATCACCTCACCTCGATGCCGATCTTAAGGATTCCCTCAGTTTCTGAGGGCCTATCCCTAAGATTGTCCTCGCTGTTTGCTCGCCCATCTTAGGGATAGGGATAAGTTCGAGGCTGGTTAAGCCCGTCCGCCCGCTTTGCGGGCCCGCCCGCCCGACCCGTGCGCTCGGGCCCGCCCGCCAGGCCCGCCCGTGAGGGTCTGGCCGCCCGACCCGCGCGTCTCGCCCCGTCGGTGCGGCCCAGGAGCTGCGCTTGTACGGAGGGCCTCCCTCCACGAGAGGGGCAGTCACGTTCGTGCGCGAAGACGGCGAAGTGTGAGGGGCTTCGGGTATTCGTGTCAACCGGCGCGTGGGCAAACATGAGTGATCAGTATCACAGTGTCTGTACGCAGTTGTTGGCTAGGATGAGGATAACGACGCGAAGGGAACGAAAGAGGATACAGAGGAAGATGGGAAGGCGGATGGGGGAGGGAGAGGGTGAGGGGAAAGGGTAGGATGATGATGATGATGATGTGGAGGAGGAGAAAGAGGGGGAGGAACAGGAGAGGATGAGGCAGAGGAAGAGCAGGAGGAGGAGGACCCGTCTAAACCCAAGAGCCATCAACGCTGTTGGAATC